TACAAATATTTTATGGACTCAGGTGTGCTTTTCCTTCCCCGTTCCGTGCCCTTTTGTTCACAACATGGTTGCGGATGTTGAAGCAATGGACCACAACTACACAGAGGGTTTTATTCAAAGGGAGAAATGAATGAATGAAAAAAACTGCTGTTTGAGAAAAAATAAAAATATTAAGCATAACTTGGCTTGATCTCTTTATTGTTGAATTTATCTCTTTTGTCCTTCCCCGTTCGCGTTTTAATAAAAACGATGAATCAACATTGAGTTTTAATGCTGGGATTTTTTTAAATAAATTATGACCAGAAATCCCTCTATGTTATATCAACTTTAAGCTTAATTATATAAAAACTGAAGCAAAAAAGTGAAGCATAAAACTGAAGCAAAAAAGTGAAGCAAAAAAGTGAAGCAAAAATCTGAATCAAAAAAGTAAAGCAAAAATCTGAAGCAAAAATTAAAAGCAACAATTATTAGCAAAAAACTGAAGCAAAATAGTCAGACGATCAAAATTCCAGCTTATAAAAATCCAAAAAAATCCAAAACCCAATAAAAAACTAAAAAAAATCCAAAAATATAAATCAAAATAAATAAAAGAATCCATTTTAGGCAACAATTTCCTGTGCAATTTTCTGTCATTTGCGCTTTTAAGAAATGATTTGTTACGTTCAATATGCGTGAAAGCTTTATTAAAACTGGTATAATATTTTTGTAAAAGTTGAGAAAAATGTCAAAAAATAATAATAAAAAATTTTTTTTTCTTAAATAATGTTGCGTTTTGTAGACAAATTAATCTAAGCTAGAAAAACAAATAAATAATAAACATATTTTGTGAATATATAGACGAACATTTTTGGTATAATAAAACATAGAAACAAGTTTTAGTTGTGAAATAAAAACAGAAAACATAATTGTAAAAAATTAATGGAAATTTTTAAATAAAAAATAAAAGTTTTACAAATCAGAATTAATTTTTAAATGACCGTATTTGCTAAATAATTACACAGGGTATTTATTATTTCAACCTCTCGCTGCAGGGGGTAATTATTTTAGCTTTATTTAGCTTTATTTTTTTTAATCAGAAAAGCTAATTATAACTATTTTTAATAGAGGCAATTATTTTTCGATCTCTGGCTGTAGAGGATGATTAATTGGCGGGGGTAATTGTTTTAGATAGGGACATTATTTCAGCATTTACGGTATAAGTTAAAAACAATAATTAATTTACAATTTGTAACTAGATTTACAAACCTTCTTTTTAATGTTTTAACAACTTTCTTTATGTTTTACAAACTAAAAACACAATTATAAGAAAACAATTAGATATGATAAAATCAGAATTACAAATCAGAATTTTCTAAATACTCGCAGTGTAAGCGAGTAAATAATTCAAATCAGAACAGAATTTTACAATTTTTATTTCAAGTTTTATTAAGTTGAAATCAAAGTTTTATAATTCAAGTTTTACAAATTTCATTTTATTCCCCTTACAAAATCAGAACAAGTTTTACAATTTGTAATTAATTTACAAATCAGAATAAAAACTTTATTTTTTTTTTGTTTTATTTTCAAGATTACCAACTTTTTTAAGTTTACCAACTTTAATTTAAATAAATAATAAGGTTTATTTATATATTATTAGGCATATTTTATTAAAGGCATATTTTATTAAATTAAGGCATATTTTATTAAATTAATAAGTAATGCCAAGGCATGCGTACATGAGTGACATTTTAATTTATTTACTTCCACTATTAATAATTTATTTAATAAAAAGAAAATTTTTTTATTAATAAATTTTTTATCAAGATTTTTATTGAGTTCAACTTACATAATTTAAAATAAATTTATTAGACACTCAACAAAATTTTATTTAAAATTGAATAATAAATTATTTATTTGTTCATTTCACTCTTTTTAAGTTAACCTGAATTTAATTTTTGAATTTTTTATGTTGACAAATTTTTTATTTTATTTTAATAAACTTTAATATTGAAAAAAATTTAAGTGAATATTATTTTTAATTTATAGGTGGGAAGCTTATAATTTAATAATTTTTATTGAACAGAAGAAGTAATTGCTACCTTGGGTTCCTTGAAAATCGAAAAATTAAATTTTAAGTAGACTTATTTTTAGTGTAGAAAAAATTAAAAAATTAAATGGTATTTGACACTGAAGATGATTTGTGTTATTCATAGAAATGGAAATATAAACACCCTTATTAGACCTCTTTTTAGATAAGATTTTAGTCAATTGTTTAATTATTTCTTAAAATATTTTTATTTTATCACAAAGTCATCAATTAAGAAGCACCCATTTTTTAAAATTTTTTTTATCTTCAATTTTTTTTATTTTACAATCGTAAAAATAAAATTTATATAAAATAAATTATGGTTATATTAAACACCCTTGGGGCTCTATTTTTCAACTATTTTGAAAAGACGGGGTATATTAAAGAGGAGGAGGCACTAATTCAGACGGGGGCTGTATTTTTCAACTATCCTTGAAAAGTGGGCTTTATTAAGGAGAAGGCTAAAATTCATAGGGGAGGAGGGTGGGTTAATACAGAAAATACGGTATATTACATGGCTGGGCTTAGTTCGCACTTTCGCGTTTCGCTTTCGCATTTCGCTTTAAATTTTTAGATTTCGCCCAGCCTTGGTATATTATGTAAAATTAAATTAGATCCAATTGTTTTTATTAACGAAATTAAAAATCTAATAAAAATCTAATAATTAATTAAAATACAATTTTTAAATTAATATTTTTTCATTAATTTGCAATTTTTCGAATTAATTAATTTTAACTTCCGATAGTAAAAAACACGAAAGAAATTAAATAATGAATTAATATAGAATTAATACAGGAAATTAAAAATCTGTAATTTTTAAATTTAAATATTTATTGTTTAAATTTCAAAAATAATTAAACAAATAAAATTTTTTTAAATTTGTTTTTGCTTATTTATTAAAAAATTTTTCAAAAAATTTTTTACGTAAAAAATACAAAAAGAAAAATTAAATAATTTATTGTTAATAAGCTAAAGAACAAAGGCTTTTTATTAAAATTTGAATTTCTTTTTTTTAAATTTTCTTTTGATAATTGTTTTTTGGTTTATTTATGTTATATTTAATTAATTAATTAATTAATTATTTTAGAATTATTTTTTATATAAGATTATTAATTAAATTAATTTAATTAATTAAACATTTTTTTATTTATTTCATTATTTTCGAAAAAAATATAAAACCTAGCTGCATTATAATTAATAGGCAAGCAAAGACCATTAGACACCTGTAGTTTTGTCGATTCAGTTTTTCGAAACTGTTCCAAGGATCGACAATAATTACCGTTGCTTTTAAGATTCCGTAGCCCTTCTCGAATAATTATCCCAGCTCTATATATTACTTACACACGAGTTCATAGTCTTGTACCAAAATTCGTTTTCGTACTCGCGCTCGCGCCTTGGTACGAAGTACGAGTAAAATTGAAATTTATAAACACTGCTTACGCCATCGAAAAGCATATTAATAATTACTCGATAAGTGTAATTATTAGAGGTATCCTCCTTTAAAGCTAGTGGAGTCGCTCGGGTAATCACCCTTTTTTAACTCAAGTGAGCTCATTATTTTTGTTCTACCCTAAGTATGCTAAATTCATTGTTTTGACAATAATTTCATGCTTTTTTTAATCTTAAAATTTCTAAATTAATAAATCTAGCAAAAAAAACTTATTTTTAATTTAATTGTTTTCCTAAAAATAATTTTTTAATTTTATTTGTAAAAATAACAAGGAAAACTAAATATAGACCCTTTTATTTAAAAATAATAATAATAAATTTTTAAATATCCCCTATATTTATTTTTAAATTTATTATTTATTTTTAAATAGCCTAAGAATATTTTTAAAAATTTCAATAAATATCAAATTCGGCTTAAATAATTCTTACACATCTTATAAAGGCTTTTAATGATAAATTTATTATATAATTAATTTTTGGAACTGAACTAGAAATAAATTTAAATGCCAAATTTAAGGTTAGGTACGTCACTATTGTAGCCTGTGTTTTTTTGTGAAAAATTTGTTTAATTGTTTAAATGATCTAGATTTTTGCCTATAATTTCTTTAAAGCCTATAATTTTTTTATAAAATTTTCAAAACATATAACTATTTCCTTTAGAAATTTTATTTTTAATTTTAAAAATTGATATTTAATTTTAACTTTGTTTTATTCAAATTTTTATTATTTTAAAAATTGCAAGTTTAACTGGTAATAAATTTAAATTATTTTTGTAGCAAGATTATAGTGGAATAAGACGAGATACACGAATATTCGATATCCAAAAATCGAAACCTGGATATTTTTCAACCCATCTGAAACCCGAAACTGAGACCCTACTTATTCTCAATCAGCCCTATCCCTGCTTCATACCCTTATCTTTTTTAATGCCATTATCTTTTCAACCCCTTAGCTCTTTCATAAAACTTTACACACTCTTGAAAGCTTATTGAGACCTTAACCAGCATGACTTTTAATCTAATTATACATAATATTTTCTGAGAAAGAATGCCGTCTAGGCTACAAAAACATTACAAATTAATTTCCAAAAAAATGTCGTGTTCTTAATAAAATATGAATAGTAAATGCAAAAATAAGGCTATAATTCTAAAGAAAATATTAGAACTAAAAATAAATTTATTTAAAAATAATAGAGATTAAAAGCCAAAAATTTCTTTTATTTTATAGCCTTATAAAGCCTCTGAAAAGCCTTTTATTTAAAAAAATTGTTTTCCTTTTTAAATAAATTTTGACATTTAAATTATGATATTATTGCTTAGTAGCTTATTATTTAAATATTTTGAAAAGTTCCTTAAATAAAAAATTCTCACAAATTTTTCTAAACATTTTTCTCAATTTTCTCCAAATTTTTTCCAACTTTTAGAAAACAAATAAAAGAGAAAAAGCTCTAAAAATTATTTTTTTCCAACCTTAATTTAATTAAATTATGACTGTTGTTGGAGAAGAAGCCAAGGAGTGGACGAGGGTAGATGCTCCTCTAGACGAGCGCTTAATTATAGGATTGCTTTATTTGTGTTCTGCTTTGTTTTTTCTGGTTCTTCAATTCTCTGTGATTTTTGTATGTTTTTAAATTTTTAAACAAAAAAATTTTTTAGAGGTCCATTTATAGTGAGCGATCTAATGCCACTCCCTCCCTCGCTCTTTTTTAATGGCAAAAAATCCTCTTGAAAAAATTAATCAAAGAAATAATTTTTCCCTAATAAATTTAGATCATTATAACCTATAAAGACTTTCGTGGCCACCTCTGCTACAGAATTATGCTTTTTATTTCGATTGCTGATTCAATTCAACTTGTGGTTCATTCATATGGTAAATAAATATAAATTAACTTAATAAACTTGAAACAAGTTTAAACTTGATTTACAAACTTGAAAACTAAAAATAAACTTGAAATTTATTTAATTTATAAGTTCAAACTTGAAAAACTTGAATTAAGTTTAAACTTGAAAAAAGTTTATTATTATGAACTTGAAATTAATTTAATGTTTATTATAAACTTGAAGCAAGATTAAACTTGATTTACAAATTTGGAAACTAGAAATAAACTTGAAATTTATTTAATTTTTTTATAAAACTTGAAAAAAGTTGAATTAAGTTTAAACTTGAATAAGTTTATTATTGTAAACTTGAAATTAATTTAATATTTATTATAAACTTTAAGCAAGCTTAAACTTGAAAATATTTAAGGTGGAATTATTTGTATACTGAACAATTCATTGAGTTTCTTTGTGGAAAAGGTGTGTGACTTTCACACTAGTTCAAAAATATTTTTTATCATTTAACAGGCAGCAGGTGGCCTAGCCAACTCCATTCTAATGGCAACAATGCCCATTTGCCTTGTTCTATCATTAAATCGACTGCTAGTCTTCCTTCCTTCCAAACTTGATGAAACAAGGGAAGAACGCTTATTCAACTGGCTAATCGCTTTGTCTCTGCTTCACGGCCTTCCCTTCTTTATTATTTACTTAACACCTCATTCTACAATCGCTTTTCGTTACTATACCTGGGATTATGTCACAATTTATAATAATTCGACTTGGACTTGGGTTGGAACATCTACAGCAATATTACCTTTACCTTATATAACGCTAACTTTTTTGGTGTATTTGGCTATTTTTGGTGTTCTTATTTTACAAGTAAATTTATTTGTTTGAAGCAAAAGTATTTGTTGTGAACTTGAAACTTTGTTTTTATTATATATCTACATAGAATGTCTTTAATAAAACTTTTTTGAGTTTGCAAACTTGATCAACTTTTGTAATAATATTAAACCTGAAATAAGCTGATAAATCTTAAGCATGCTTAGATTTTGCAAACATACATAAAAAATAAACTTAGATTTTGTAAACTTAAAAAAAATAAACTTGGATTTTGTAAACTTGAAAAAATAAACTTGGATTTTGTAAACTTAAGAAATATTGACTTTAGAGATTACAAACATAAAAATAAACTCAATCTAGATACATTTTTAATAAGCTTAACCTAACCGTTTGTAATTCTGAAGTCCTTATTGTTTTACAATTTGTAATTTTGTTTTACAATTTGTCGTGTAATTGTAATAAACTTGGACAATTATGATTTTTATTTTTAAATTTATTTTTAATTTAAGCGACGAAAAATAACTACGACAAAACCCAAGGTCACACCAACAGTATGTCCAACACGAACCACAACCATGTACCAACACAACACAAATCTTATTAGAAATCAAAAGAATGAACAAATTCCAGCAAATGTTATTCCAATAGAGTGGAGTACCTATAAACCTCCACAGCCTCCCACAACAAAAAACATCTCCCCCTCAACTCAAAATCCAATACAACATTTAATTCAACACGAAAGGCGCTTACTCTTCCAAGCGCTAGTTCAATTTGGTGTTGAATTCTCTCTTTGTTTAATTTGGTTTTATCAAATGATTGGTGCGCCGTTACCCGAAGGAGTGGCTTTTAATGCTTTTATTAATTGGTATTGGATATTCTACAATGGATTTAGGCCTCTTGTCTATTTGGCGATGAACAAGTAATTTAAATAAAATTTTAAATTTTGAAGCAAAAAGTTGAAGCAAAAACATGAAGCAAAAACATGAAGCAAAAATCTGAAGCAAAAAACTTGAAGCAAAATTTTTTTGATTTTCAGAACTGTTCGGAAGCGCCTTCTAGCCCTCTGGCTGAATCAACCTCAAGCGACTTTGGTGGACTTTGGCAAGCTTCAAAGAGGAGCAGCACCTCAGGGTATACGTGCTACACCAAGACTTTTTTCTCAAAATAAACAAACACAAAATTATGCTAGTGGGAGAATGAGTTAGAAATTTCGTTGTATTCTCTATATTTTATTTATGACATACTATTTTTTGTTTAAATTTTTTCAAAATTAATTTTAAATAAATCATATATACAAAAAATAAATCATAAATTCTTTTTATAAAATCGGTTCGTTGACCAGAGGCATTGGACGACGAGGCGTTACAGGATTCGCACCTGAAACAAGCATAACCTCTTGCTGAACAATTCGAGGTATCTTTGCAAATTCTGCGGTACTTTCTGACTGTTTATTAAGCCAGAATGATAAAAGTCTTGTACGGATTGTTCTGAAAATATTAAGAATTAATTAAAGCTTCACATGTTTCTACTAGCTCAATTTCCTACAAATTGTTAAACTCTCATTTGTAATCTATGAGAAACTAGCAGAAACAAATTTCAAAGATAATATCTTTATAACCACAAGGAATATAAGGATAAACAGTTTAGCTTATGTTCTCCATTTCTGTGTTCCCGACAAGCTTAGCTATTAATGAAGTGCTCAAGTTTTTTGCTTCAGGTTTTTGCTTCATGTTTTTGCTTCAACTTTTTGCTTTAAAATTTAAAATTTTATTTGATTACTTGTTCATAGCCAAATAGACAAAGGGTCTAAATCCATTGTAGAATATCCAATACCAATTTGCCAATACATTAGCAATTATTCCATCCGGAAGCAAGTCAACCATTTGTAAAAACCAAATCGTACTTAGAGAGAATTCAACAACAAACAGGACTATAGCCTGTAAAAGTAGTCTACGTTCATGTTGAATTAAGGACTGTTTTGGTGTTAATATGTCGTGTTGAATTGAAATTCTTGACTGGATTGAGGGTCGGGTTTTGTAAAATCCGGGAATGTTGTTTATCCCTTCTATTGGTCTTCCAATCTCCCCTTGTTGGATGGATAAACGTTGTTGATGAATTCTGTTATTAGCCATTATTTGATTTTGGTATTGTTGTAGATTATTAAATTGAGGAGCAGAGGAAACGTGAAACAATGCTGATACTTGCCTGATTGCTAGTTCCGATTTTGGCAACAGTTTAAGAGTCATTTTGCGACGCTAAATTTTATTTTCTAGCTTTTAAATTATAGTGTTTGTATCAAGGTTGCAAATAAATTTATTAAATTAGTACTATGTATAATCAAACTTAAGTTGTAAACTTTTAAGTTTGTAAACTTAGATTTCTTTTTATGAATCAAGTTTATAAACATGTTATTCTATAAAAAAGTTTATACACTTAAGCTTAAGTTTATTTATAAAACAAGTTTATGAACTTGCTTTTTTATTTACAAGTTTATAACTTACGTTTCTTTCTCTAAATCAAATTTATAAACATGTTATTTTATAAAATAAGTTCATAAACTTAATTCTTAAGTTTATTTATAAATCAGGTTTATGAACTTGAGTTTTCTTATTTGCAAGTTTATAGAATCAAGTTTATTTTGTAATCCAAGTTTATACACTTAAGCTTTAGTTTATTTTATAAATCAAGTTTATAAACTTTACTTTTTTACTTACAAGTTTGTAAACTTAAGTTGCTTAACTTACTAAGTTTATGAAATTAAGTTTATTTTTATAAATCAAATATATAAACTTGAATATTGTAAACTTTTTGCTTACAAACTATTACAAATTGTAATAAGTTTACAACCTTGTTTGCAAACTTTATATCGAACTATTATTTTTCTCACCTGATCCATAAGTATGCAAAATATAGACAAATACACAATAAATGTTATAACCACATAGGGTAATGGTAGAGTTTCTGTTGTTCGTTCAACCCAGTCCCAATTTGCATATTCAAACATGTCCAGTTTAAGATAATCCCAATTATAATAACGAAATCCAAGTGTAGCATGAGGTGTTAAATAAAGAACAAAGAAAGGAAGGCCTTGAAGAAGAGAAAGAGCAATAAGCCAATTAAACAGGATTTCTTCTTTCCTTTCACTCAATTTAGCGGGTAGGAAGACTAGCAACCGATTAATTGCCAAAACTAAGCAAATTGGCCAGTTAAGTAAGGATAGTGAATTTGCTAGACCGCCAGCTATCTGTAAGAAGGAGAGGCTTTATTTTTAGATTTTTTGGGTTTTACCTTTTCAAGATAGAAACTGAAGGAGTTGTCGATTATGCATATTATACCACCTAAAAAATATTAAATTATTAAAGATTTTATTAAGATTGTCTTAAAAAATAAATTTAAAATTAAATTAGGTTTACTTAATTTAATTAAACGCGCACTTAAACTTAAGGTACGTCTAAAACAAGTTGAATTATTAAATTAAAAAATAAACTTAATTTACAAACTTAAGTTTAATAAAGTTGTAAACTTAAACTTAAAACAAGTTTACAAAGTTTAATAAACTTGCGCACTTAAACTTAAAGTGCGTCTAAGCACTTGAACTTAAAACAAGTTTAATAATTAAATTAAAGAATAAACTTAATTTACAAACTTAAGTTTAAGCCAAGTTTGTGAGCAAGCTTAAACTTAAGTTTAACCCTTTAAATAACCTCATAAAGTAATTAATTAACGTACCATAAGCATGAACTACAAGTTGAATACTATCAGCTATTGAAATAAAAAGCATAATTCTGTAGCAAAGATGATTCCGCAAGTCTTTGTAGAAGCAAAAAACCTTTAAATTTTTTTATCATTGATCAAATCAAAAAATAAATTCTTACAAAAATAACAGACAATTGAAGAATCAGAAAAATAAGTGCAGAAAAGAAATAAAGAGATCCAATGATGAGACGTTCCTGAATCGGTGCTCCTTGTCTAGTCCAATACAAAGCTAAATTGCCATCTACTGTCATTTCTATAAAATAATTTTCTATACAAGTTTGAGTTTATAAGCCTAATAAAAAATATTCTGATTTAATTAAAGAATTTTTTCAAGTTTACAAACTTGAAATTCTGGTTAATTTATAATACAAATTAATTCTGATATAACTAAAAATTCTGATTTGAAAATAAAAATTCTGGTTTAATTAAAATTCTGATTCTAAAACAAGGAATTCTGATCTTGATGTTATTTCTGACTTAATAAAATTCTGGTTCTAATAAAAATTCTGATTTAATAATATTTCTGATTTTAATAAATATTTCTGCTTTTAATAAAGATTCTGATTTTTCAAATAAATTATTAAAAATTCTGATTTTTACAAATTCTGGTCGTTCAAATAATTATTAAAAATTCTGATTTTAATTATTGAAACCAGAATTTCGGTTTAATTAAATATAGACTGCTTAAAAAGTGTGGAAATAAAGCGTTTACAATAGCAACTTGAAACAAATGACAATTATAAAATAAATAAAGTTGAGAATAATAAAATTATAAATCATATGATTTTAATTATAAGCAATTTTAGCTTGTTAAATTAAATTTATTTTCCATATTTATTTTTTTAACTAAATTAAAATTTGCTAATATTTATTTAAACATTTGAGGAAAATTGTATTTTAATGAAATAAAATTTTATAAATTTCTGGTTCAAAATTTTTTAAAAACGGAATTTAGATAATTTAATAAAAATATTAATAAGGGTTAATTAAATTATTAAAGGAAGTATTTTAAATTTGCTATATTGAGAGTTGACGTATAATTAAATAGCTAATTTGTATATTTAATTCAACTTGAGGTGAAATAAAATTAAATTTAATTTTGAAAAGCAACAGAAAGTTAAAGAAATGTTACAGACAATTTAAAGTTAAAATTGCTAATTATTAAGTAATATCATTTTTATTAATTTGCCAGACAAAAAATTGAGATGACGTTATAAAAATTAATTTAATTTTCTCTCTGATCGAGAAAAAGTCCGATTTCAAGCTGGGATTTTGAAAAATTGCCAGGTTGGGGTTTGGATTGGATTTTAGAAAAAGTAGGGTAGCAAAACAGCTACGATTTTTAGGCAATAGACCCTGACACGAATCTAGAGGCTCTACCCCATACAACCCCAGATCCCTATCAACCTCGACCACATAGGGTTGTGTTTCTACACTAATAATAAATTTAGGTTTGAGTATAGTCATTTAGGGTAACTCGACTCCCCTATTGTGGAATCATTATTATAAGTTTTTGTTTTTTTATGCCGAAGAATCAGGGCTGGAAGCATCCGCAGTCCTTATCCGCAAATTTTATTTTAAAATTCGCAGCTGCGCTAAGTACTGCTAAAGATGAAAACTCTTAACAGCATCGATATTATTAAAAATTTTTATGTAAGAAAATGCATATTCTTCGATAAAATAAACAAAAAATAAGCTAAAAATGAATCTAATTATATGGAATTAGGGTATATTTTTTATTTATTTTCCAAAATTACCAACAAAACTTAAGGGTTTATCGTTAGTTTGGAACATGAAATTAATTTTCTAATAAGAAATAAATAAAAAAATATTGTTTTTTTATTTGAGGAGTGTTTAATTTGTAACAAATAAAATATATTTTTTCCATATTTGGCAAACTACCAATTATTTTAAAATATATTTTTGGTATATTATTATTATTCATTTTTTATAATAAAATTAAAGGCTATCCCATTATATAAATTAAATTAGATTTGCAATTTATTTTAAGTTTATTTTAAGATATAAATTGAAATTATGGAAATTTTTTAAATTTGAATTTTGTGTTTAGAAAATTTTTTTATTAAAGATCAGAACCGGGGACAGGAAAAGTTTTCGTTAAAATTAGACTGGGTGGTATCGGGATTTCGACAAAAAATTGGGATCGGGATTTTGGAATGTTGATCCGATACCGATCCCGACTGCAGGATTGGGATTTACCTTTCGGTCTTGGGACAAGAAAAATTGGGATCCGCCCGATCAGGATCGGGATCCCGATCCTGCCCAACCCTAGTTAAAAGTTGGGGTTTTTTGACAATAGCTTTTTTATATATAAGGAATCTAATCGTTCCAATTTTCTTAAAGCTGGAACTCACTATGGGTTATGGGCCGTGAATCCTGATTCTTAGTATTGAGAATTATTTATTGTACAAATGTGTCCAGATTTTTAATTTTTATCAATATCTTAACTGTCCAAAATCACTCTAAAAATTCATTTTCTAATTAATTATCTAGTTATTCGATCAGCATTTTAATATTATATTTTTAAAGCGATTGATTTTACATAAAAATATGCAACGCATGCATTCCTTGACCCATTTTAGAGCGAAAATAAATTTATTTGGTTAAATTTTAAAATTCGTATTTTCGTAATTAAAAATTATTTCTCTTTAAAATGCCCCAATCTCGATCAGAAAATCAACATAAGCATCATACCCCCTCAAATATATTAATCACTGGAGGTTGTGGATTTATCGGCTCCAATTTCCTGAATTATATATTTGATAAATGGCCAAATTCAAAATTTGTTAATGTAGATAAATTAATTTTAAACAGTGATTGCAACTATGTGGACAGTAAAATACGTAATTCTGATAGATATAAGTGTGTGCTGACGGATATAAAAAATACAAAAATTTTGGAAAGTGTTTTGGTTGAGAATGAGGTGAGGAAATTTAATTAAATAATTATTTAATAAATCAGGGGGATAATACAAAGTAAATAAAATAATTGATAAGAACACAAAAAACAGAATAAACTTGAAAATAAAAATCAGAATAAAATCAGAAATTAATATTTGAACATAGCAGGGTTGAAAATTTTGTTTAAAAATCAGAATTTTTATTTTAATGGGAGCGGGTCAGGGTATCGCATGCCCTAGGTGCCGCAAAGCTATAACTTCGTTTCAGAATTGTCGATTCGGGACGCCTTGGTATGGTTCTGATAAGCTCATCGAGTCGCGTCGAACCATTCAAGGACGCACCTTGGGCATGTGGTACCTTGGGCTTATGATACCTTGGGGTGTACCCTATTCTTATGAAATTTATTAAATTAAAGAATTAATTTTTAAATCAGAATATAATTTCAGAATAAAAATAAGACTATTTCTTATTCTGAACTAATTAAAAAATATAATATTTGCGTGTTTTAGCCTAAGTTTTTTTAAATTTATTTTTTTACATGGGAAAATAAATACAAATTTTTTTATAAAATATGTAGGTGTTTGTTAAGTTCATAAAATAATTTTTTAAATTTTCTCATTAATTGTACGATTTCTAACTATTAGGGCATAAAAAATGGACTTTATTATTCTCGTAATTTACGCAGTAAAATATTTCTTTAGACTGCAAAAAATTTTTTTAAGCTTTAGTCTTATGTACTTAATAGGAAAACTAACGAATACTTGAATTTTAAAAAGTAAAAAAATTAACATAAATGAGGAAATAATTTAAAAATTTTTAATAAACATACCGGCTTTTCTAGCAATCATATTCATTCATTAAATTTCAATTTTTGAAGCAAAAATAAATTGAAATTAAATTTATTTATTTTTTTACAGATTTTTCGTTAAGCGTCTTTTAAAAATAATCTGAGAAAAAAATTTTTTTTAATTATTTCTTAAATTAGACAGAATATTTCATACCTGGTCACGTACGGTATGGATACAAATATTATCAAAATGCTCGCGGATATCCGCCTGTATCCGCCGTAAATATGCGGATACGGATACAAAAACGATGATGATGATCCGTGACCAGGGCCCTATTTCAATTGTCCACAGATTCTGCGGTCTGCGTTCTGTGCACAGACCACAGAACCACAGAAATTCTGTTTCAATTATTCCACAGATTCTGCGGAAAAAGAAGTCCGCAGATTCTGTGGAAACATGCACAGAATCTGTGGAAACATCCACAGATTCTGCAAAACATCCAAAAACATGCAAAAACCACAGAATTCTATTTCAATTATTTTTCTGTGCACAGAAAAAAATCCACAGATCTGTGGCTTTTTTAGTCGATTCTGTGCATTTCTGTTTCAATTATTTCTGTGGTCTGCGGAAAATACACAGAATTCTTTAAAAAATCCACCCTAAAATTTTTTCTGCGAACTTTCTGTGGAAAAACTTTAACAATTTTTTTCTAGGCCTAGGCTTAACCAAATTTCAAAATTTTTAAAGATTATTAAAGTTTGAATCATTCTCTATTTTTTGATATAAAAATTATAATTTTATTACCTAAAATTATTGCTTAAAATTAATTTTGAAAAAGGTACATCTTTTTTACGCAGTTTTTGTTATATTCAAGCAATAAAAAAATAAAAAACGTGAGAGATTCTGAAATTTAGAGCTATGATGTTCTAATCATCATGGATATCTCTAATGAGGGGATGTTTACCAGGATCTATAGAATATATCTGTATAGCGTATACTGGGATATCTCCCATGATCTCTCATTGATATCCGTCATAATCTCTCCTCCTATTTAATGATAGATTTCCTCCTTAATCACTCCAATATATTAAACCTCAAAATCAATGGATATCCCACTTAATCACTCCTCTACGATTTTAAAGTTCCGATTTGACTATAATTTTGGATTCCAGGCATTTTCGATTTCCAGGAACCTCAATTTCTGACTAAACAATCCCCAAACATTTCCCTCCCTTGCAACAACTTCTATCGTAGTTTGAAAAAGCCACATGTCGGATCGACATCTCCTGATTTTTCCGATCCGAACCCTGCTTTAGGACATTAATTTAATTGGAGATTTAAGGATATTGGATGAACAAGAAAATTAAGCGGTATATCAGCGGTTTTAAAGTGATATCAAAGAGATTTAAAGGGATGTTATGTGATTTGGAGGGAAAATTTTTAAATCTTTACAATATTTTTCAGTTTAATTTAAGAATTTTTAAAGTTTTACTTCAAAAAATCAGGTACCATTAATACTGCGGTAGTACCGAACTGTCCAAACCATTTTTCGTTTCAATAAAACTGTTATTTTCAAAAACGCGGAAATAAAAAATTTGAATTTAGAAGAAAAAATACACAGAACCACAGAAAAATAATTGAAATACAAATTCTGTGGATCAGTGGAAAAAATCCACAGATTTTTATATTTTCCACAGAAATTTTCATCCACAGAATCTGCGGAATGTTTCCACAGAATCATTGGATGTTTCCGCAGAATCTGCGGGCACCACAGATTCTGTGCACACAGAATTTAATTGAAACAGAATTTCCACAGAATCTGTGTTCTGTGCACAGAATGCAGAATCTGTGGACAATTGAAATAGGCCCCAGGTCTGGAATATTTTATAAAATATTATATTTAATTAATAAATTAAGGTTATAATTTAATTTTTAAATTATAATTTAATCTTGAAATTATAAAATTTTTAAAATTTTCATTAATTTATATATACGCGACAAAAATGAAATTTCTTTTTTTTCAAAAAAAAATTTGAAAAAAATTTTAATTCCAATAATTTTGTATTTAATTCTATAAATTTTTTTAATTTTTAAAAATTTTTCAATTAATTCCCAGATAGATACAATTATCCATTTTGCTTCGGATTGTACTAGCATTCGTTGTTATCTCCAACCGGAAGAGGCTATAGCCAACAATGTTATAGCCTTTTTGGAATTTTTGGAATTAATTCGAATTTATGGAAAAGTGAAGAAATTTGTACATATCAGCACGGATGAGGTTTCGGAAAATTTGAAAAAAAATTTTTTTAATTTTAAAATTAAATAAAAAGCTAATTTTAAATTTAGACTAAATAAAGGAGTAATAAAATAGACCTTAAAATACACATTTAACACATTAAACTATAAAAATTTTTATTCTCTTAAATGTCTAGTTAAATGGAAAATTAAAAGAAAAAATTTTTTATTTAAATAATAATTAAAAGAAAATACAAAGTTTGAAAAGAAAAAAATTTTTTTTTAATTTTTAAAATTAGAAAATTAGAAAAAAAATTTGACAAAAAATTAACAAAGAAAATGAACCGAAAAATTAAAAAAAATTTTTTTTAATGCCAAGTTAATTTTAAAAATTAATTTTGTAATTTTCAATTGTAATTGGGGAAATCTGGTGTCTTTTTTGTTCTTGGAAATTTTAAAAATTAAAAAAATTATTGTCTTGGAAATTTAAATATACTTGTAGCAAATTTCAAGAGCTTACGAATAAGACCAAAACGAAAATTTAACAGAATACGTATGGGGTCGAAAATATTTTTAAATGAGGCTTACCCTATTTCAGGTTGATTTTCCAAGTATTCTAAGTAGCCCGTATACTATTTTTGTAAAACCGTATACGTTTATCTGAGACCCGTATACCATTCCGTTTAATTTTACCAAAAAACCCCTTTACCGTATACCGTTTAGTTAAACGGTTTGTCCCACCCTAGTTCAAAAAATGCTCATAAAAATCAGAAAATAAACTTTAAGGATATCATAAAAGATCAGAAAAAATATCACAACGGAATTTGACAATAAAAATCAGAAAATCAAAATTTATTAAAAATTCTGAAAAAAATCAGAATAAAATTCTGAAAATTTCAGAATTAATAAAAATATTAACAGGTCTATGGCGATTCTGAATTGGGAAGTGAAGCAAATCCTAAAACAGAAAAAGAACCGTTGCTGCCTGGAAACCCTTATGCTGCTACTAAAGTAAAATTTGAATCAGAAATATTTTTTAAAAATTATTAAAAAAATCAAGGCGATCAGTGAATATTATGCCCATTTATATCAACAACTTTATGGGCTTCCATTGTGTACTTTAAGAATAAATAATATTTATGGTCCTAATCAATGGGATGTTAAGGTAATTTTGGTACTATGTATAATTCAGAATTAGGAAAAAAATCAGAATAAATCAGAACAAAATTTAAAAATCGGAAAAATTCTGAATTAAAATCAGGGAAAATCAGAACAAAAATCAGACGACTTAGAAAATTTCAACAAAAATCGCCAGAACTAAAATCATAATCAGACAATAATTTGAATAAAAAAGTCAAAAAAAATCAGAACAAATCAGAAAAATTAGTAAAATTAGAAAGAGAAGCAGAACAAATTTTAAAATCAGAATTAAAATCAGAACGATGTCAGAAAATCAGAAAAATTCAGGAAAAATCGTCAGAACTAAAATCAGAATCAGAAAATAAATAATTAGACAATAATTTTAAAAAAGGTCAGAAAATTCCAGAATCAAAAAAAAAGTCAGAAAAATTAAAAAAATCAGAACAAAACTCAGAACGAAAATCAGAACTAAAATCAGAATAATTAAGCTTGTACCTCGATTTATTGAAATTGCACGGAAAGGAGGTAAGTTCCCTGTACAGGGAAGTGGAGACCAGCTTCGCTCATGGTTGTATGTTGATGATGCTTCTGAAGGTATCCGGTTAGCATTTGAAAAGGGAGGGATTGGAGAGATTTACAATTTAGGAACTTATGTTGAGAGGAATGGTAAGAGGCTTTATAAAATCTTAAAAATCGTTTTGACTAAGTTAGCTAGGGAGTGAAAATTCTGAATTAACTGCCAGATTTTTAAAAACCACAAATTCTCCGCTTTATCAATAACTGTCCCGGTTTATTCCAGAAAATTGGATTTTCTGGGAGTTTTTCCAAGCAAGGTTAATAACCGTCTAACCATCCCACACTCGGCTGGTAGTCCGAAGGGAACTTTGCTGACCTTAAAGGATGACTAGTCCTCCTCTAACTAGTCCTAACCTAAGCCTTGAGAGAACAAAAATAACTTTAATAAATTTTAGTTAAACAAGTAGCAGAGCGTGTACAGGCGGAAGTTAATCGTCAGCTAGGTGTTAATGGAGAAGTAGAATTTGAAAAAATTCAAGACCGTCCTTATAACGACCAACGCTATTTAATTGACTATACCAAAGCAAAGGAAGAGTTGGGATGGGAACCGAAAATGTCTTTTGAGGAAGGTAAATATTTGTGATCCTATGTGATTTTTGGGGCCGGAAGGTACTTCAGGAAGGACATTCCTGGAGGTCTTATCTGGAATTTAATTTAAGGATTCAGATACTAAGACGATTATTTCTGGAAAGTCCTCTAAGAAAGGACTTATGGAACGGATATTCAGGGGCTCCTGAAATATCTGACTTGAAAGAACTGCCCTTAAAAATCTGGCTCCAATTTTTATGAGTTTATTTAATTTATTATTTTTTTGAGGGGGGGGGGGTTTGGAGAGACATTTTTTTAAATTTTGCTGAATTTGTGTGATTTTTATGGATCTTTTGAATATTCACCCTCACAATTCTCTCAATAAAGTTTTTTTAAATTTAAAAGGTCTTTCACTCGTTGTCACTTCACATTTACGCACTAAAACTGAACCTGAACAAAAATTGTCGGTTATAATTTATGGAGGTAAAGGATGGGTTGGGCTACAAGTTCAGCAAGTACTTGAAGAAAAAAGTATTCCCTACGTCTTGGCTAAATGCAAAATTGGAATTGATTCAGAGGAAAAGGTATACTAATAAAAAATTTTTTTCAAAATGTCAAAATTTCAAAGTGTCAAAAATTTCATAATCTTAGTAGTTTTTCGATTTTCGAATAAGAAAACCCTACCTTTAATTCTTTAATGGATTTATTGTAGCACAGATCTAGCCGATCCGATTCCCATTCCCTGAAATCGAGAATTGAATTTTTGTCGGGAATCCCTGTTCCAGTTTCCCGAAAATCGGGAATTTAATTTTGTGTCAGCTAGATCTCCTATATGTAGTCCACATATGCATTTAACAAGAGAAATTAAATTTACTCATTCTACCGTATACCTATATGACGATTCCTCTTTAACTGAAGAATTGGAACAGTGGGAATTTTATTTTCTAGTCGAGTAGTTTCTAGGGCCGAGATCGAGGATCACCGAGACTGAAAAAGCCTCGTTCCTCGGCGAGGTTCTTGGTGAAGATAGAGACCGAGGCTCCAAGACCGAGAACCGGTCGAACCGAACCGAGATTGAAAAATGGGCAAGGATTTTTATCTACATATTTGTAAGACATTCTTATGGGATGAAAAATTTACTTTTATGCAATTTTTAGAAAATATTTAATTTTAAGGTAATCGAGGAACTTTTCCAATTGCGTGGAACTCACGTCCTTTGCTGTACGGGAAGAACACATGGAGGGAATTATAAAACGATTGAATATTTGGAGGGAGGACCCGAAAAAGATTTCGAAAATATTCGAGACAATCTTTACTGTCCTCTAGCTTTGGCTACAATTTGTAAAAAATGTAAGCTTATCTTGGAGGAGGAAGAATAATTCCCCTCAATTTTCAGTGGGACTTCACTATAGCTATATAGGCACAGGCTATTTATTTGCTTACGACGAAGGAATGCATAAAGTTGGAGGTGTACCTTTCAGTGAAAAAGGTATGTTTTAGCCTTGTTTGAGGCTTAGACAAATGGCCGATCAACCCTAAGGTTCTGTCAAAATGTTCGATCACGTTCCCTCTTTCCTTTACAATATTTCTGTATAATAGAGGTTAAATTCTCGGACATATTTCTATTAACTTCGAGCGAGGAACTCTAGTAAGGTTTATCAACCTATGCTACCTGCAATTATACTGGCAGTATTCGCTTGGTCTCGCTTACACCATAAAATTTTTAGACCTGCCTACGTTCTTTGGAAATTCTTATTCTGTCGTAAAAGGCTTCACTGATAGAATGATCCAACGGCTTAACTATCAAGAATGTTTAAACGCCCGTATCACACTTCCATTAAATTTTGATTTGGAAAGTGACCGAAATTTGCTCTCAAAAATTATAAAATATAGGTAATCATAGTTTGGATAATTTTAAAATTTTCAAAAAAATTTTTAGACAAATTTTCGATATCCCCGTTTCAATCACTATAATGCCTGATTGTTTGCCTGCTTTAATTCAATTAATGATTAAACGACATACAGGCACCATAAACTTGGTTAATCCTGTACCTATAAGTCTGGCAACAATTTTAGATTTGTACAGGGAGGTTGGCAAACTTTATAATATTTTCATTTCAAGAATAAACAGTGCTGGGGGTATTGGCCGTTTTGTGTCTCAGGCTCCGACTTTTTTTAGATACATGGCTCAGGCTTCGGAAATTACAAGATCCTAACTCCGTAGCAAGCTCCCGGAGCCATATTTGTTGCTGTTTGGTGCTGATAGAAAGAGAAGAGAAACTGAACAAATTTTTTCTTCTTCGGCTTGGATATGTTGAGGAACCTTTGGTTCATTTCTTTAATTTGGTCTCAGATATCTAGAATTATAGGCCCGGAACCAATCCTTTCTCTACCCTCGAACCGAAGGAAGAGAGAGGCTCTCTCTCCCTCAGACAGAAAAACTATCTCTCTCTCTTCCCTACTTTGAATCTTCATTTTGGCATAGATCTAATCGTTAATCAAAAGGAGGATCATTAACATCTTATCAAAATAATTTGCTTAAATTTCCTCAATTTTTCAGCATTTTGACCCTTCCCTAACTGAATTTGAACGTATTTCACCTGAATCTGAATTAGGACAACAATTATACGCAACTAAAGGAAATTGTGCTTTGGACACTACACTTTTGGAAAGTTTATGTCCAGTTAAATCGAGTTATGAATCTTTAATAGAAAATTTTAAGAAAATGAAGAAATTGAAATGAATTTCTTGATATACTTGAATTATTTATTTAATGGACTTTTAATTATAAAAATTATTTCTTGGAATTTTAATGGAGTTTGAAAAGAAATCCAGACAGTAGAGAAGGGAGGGAACTATAAAATCCAAAGCAGAGTATGGAGAAGGAACATGGTCGGAGAACTAACTCAAGGAGCTAGCTGTCAAGGAGATGGCTTTCAGGGAGACACTTTATTAATCGTTGGGCGTGTTCGATCAACAAAAGCTCGATCAAGTGGTCGACATTAATGGAACTTGAAAGAAAAATCCAGACAGAGTAGACAAAGTAGAGTATGGAGAAAGAACATGGTCGGAGAACTAACTCAAGGAGCTAGCTGTCAAGGAGATGGCTTTCAGGGAGACACTTTATTAATCGTTGGGCGTGTTCGATCAACAAAAGCTCGATCAAGTGGTCGACATTAATGGAACTTGAAAGAAAAATCCAGACAGAGTAGACAAAGTAGAGTATGGAGAAGGAACATGGTCGGAGAACTAACTCAAGGAGCTAGCTGTCAAGGAGATGGCTTTCAGGGAGACACTTTATTAATCGTTGGGCGTGTTCGATCAACAAAAGCTCGATCAAGTGGTCGACATTAATGGAACTTGAAAGAAAAATCCAGACAGAGTAGACAAAGTAGAGTATGGAGAAAGAACATGGACGGAGAACTAACTCAAGGAGCTAGCTGTCAAGGAGATGGCTTTCAGGGAGACACTTTATTAATCGTTGGGCGTGTTCGATCAACAAAAGCTCGATCAAGTGGTCGACATTAATGGAACTTGAAAGAAAAATCCAGACAGAGTAGACAAAGTAGAGTATGGAGAAGGAACATGGTCGGAGAACTAACTCAAGGAGCTAGCTGTCAAGGAGATGGCTTTCAGAGAGACACTTTATTAATCGTTGGGCGTGTTCGATCAACAAAAGCTCGATCAAGTGGTCGACATTAATGGAACTTGAAAGAAAAATCCAGACAGAGTAGACAAAGTAGAGTATGGAGAAAGAACATGGACGGAGAACTCACTCAAAGAGATATCTCTCTATGAGACACTCTATTAACGTTGTGTGTGTTCGATCAACAAAAGTTCGATCAAGCGGTCGACATTAATGGAACTTGAAAGTAAAATCCAGTCAGAGTAGACAAAGCAGAATATAGAGAAGGAACATGATCGGAGAACTCTCTCAAGGAGCTAGCTCACAAGGAGACACTCTATTAATCTTTGTGTGTGTTGGCTCAACAGAGCTTGATCAAGCGGTCGACCGATTACCAATTGACACAAATCCGGATATATCCGCGGATATCCGCGGATGGATATGACTCAAAAGTTGGACGGATACAAACGAATACGGATATTGACCCCACGGATATATCCGGATACGGATAGCAAAATCCGTATCCATGCACAAGTCTGTCTATTAGGATGGCTCACTATTTACTTAATTATTCAATTTTGTTTCCAATTTTAATCAAATTTATTTTTAAAAAATAACTAAAATCTACTATAATAATAAAATAAGTATATAATTTGTATTTAAAAATACATATAAATGTGGTAGAAAAATTTTTAAAAATTTAAAAAGGCTGAAAGGTTAAAAAAAATTTGGAAAAATATCTTCTCCGATATCAAATTTTGATCAATTTTTAATTCAGAAAATTAAAATATTTAATCAGAGAAATTATTTTTTAAACATAAATTGACTCAGGTTATAACGTTACACCACAAAGTGTTGGGAGGAGGGGGTGGAGGGTTAGTTATATCAGGATCCTAAAAAAGTCTCCAACTTTTCAGTTCAAAATCGAATCCCAGATATCCAAAGATTTCCTAGGATCCGTCACACCTACTAGAGACAGGCCAATAAATAGGAAAGAAATTTACCAGCTGATCTAAGCTTGGAGCTGATAGAAGCTAGTGTTCTTTAGAAAGGAAAATTTTCATGGAGCAGAGGAGAAGTTGAGAAGGAAAAGCAATGCCAACGTGGAGGAATGTCTCGAAACAATTTCATAAATTTTTAAGTTTATTGGGACATAGTAGATCCATTAAAATGTAAGGTAACATGTATAACCTGGTTCAACAAAAAAAACTTTTGCATAAATTTAATTAATAAAATTAAAGTAAGGGGATCTAATATAGTTTCTAAGAAGAATTAACACAATTTAAAAAAATATTTTTTAAAAATTATATGTAACAGGAAATATAATAATACTTTACATGTATTCAAAAATGGGAATATTTAGTAATTTTAATTAAAAATTAATTTTTGGTCCAATACGTAGTATTTTATTTGTTAATTAACAGAATTCCTAAGAATTTTCCTCATGGAGCCTTGAGCATTTGGAGCCTTTTTGGATTTCCACTTGATTCTTTAAATCTTCCACTTGGAGCCTTGAGCTAAAAGTGAGCTGAGAAACGGAGCCATAAATTAGGAGCTCCGGGAGCTGAAGCCAGAGAAAACGCTTAGAGCCCTTCACTTTTTTAGACCTTCATTCAGAAAATCACTTAAGGTAGTTTTCTGAATGGTTTTTAGAAAAAATTTTGTAAATTTTTGACTGAGTATTTTTTCAAAAATCTTGTGAGATTCCCACCAAGTTTGGACCAAAAATTTAATTTTTTAAAGTAATAATAAAAAATAATAATTTATATACAACTTGTAGGAATCGAATATCATCAGTAAGACTAATAAAAATTTTTATAAAAATTTTGACAATTAGAATACCATAGTTTCACTAAAATAAGCCCACTGCTAAACTAAGCTCCGTTAAAATCATTAAAATACAGAGCTAATATTTTAATGAAAACATGGTTTATAATTTATGTAGTTAATACCTTACATTTTGAAATAAAACATCTTGGATCTCTCAAAGCCCCTATCTTTCAAAAGGAGAGTTTAAGTTAAGCGAGAGATTTCGCTCAGCTTTTGGGGTTTATTTCAAAATTTAAGGCATTTTTATTTATGGGAAATAAAATAGGTTTTTTAAAAACCAAAACGAATCGAAAGAACGGAGTATTGAAGGAGTTTAGGGCGAGGTAAAATTACATAGGCAGTTTTAAATATTGTTAAAATACAATCGTCATTAAAAAAAGATAATTGAAAAAATCAAGCATTAGGTTAAATAAAATTAATTTAGAATTTAGACGGATTGAGAGGATTAAAAAGCTCAATCAGTAAAGCGCCTATGAGAATCAGCGTCAGCATAAAGAGCTAAAGAAGATTAGGGAGCTCAGTCGGTGAGCCTAAGCGAAAGCTGGAAGATAGAAGGGTCTTTATAGTACTTAGCTTTTACCTCACTCTCAAACTTAGGGATTGGCTCTTTAATAAACCCAGACCGGACTCTGTTCCTGAGCCTGATTTTAGGAGATTAGAAAATTGAAGGCGACAATTATTGAAAGCGACAATTTTGGCACAGAACCATCTCACTCTCCCAAAATTTTCAAAAATTAAGACCCAAGCAAAATTAAAAACATTTCTCTCTCAATCCTTCCAAATTATAATTTAAATAAAAATATAGAAATAAAATAAAAATAAATTTTTGTGTGGTAGGAATGGGAAACCCAAATAGTTTACTCTGGGACAAATCCAAAAATTTTGCCAAAATTTGTGTGCTAGCCCAAAAATTTAAAATAATACAAAATATAGGGGAGAGGGGCTAAGCACAATTTTGGGGATATGCCCCACTGAAACTAAGTGACTTGAAAAAAATTTGAAAAAAAATTGAAAGAATCATTGAAATAATAGAAAAGTGAAGGACAATGAAAGAAATTTTGAAAGAAAAAAATAAAGGCTTTTTAAAATAAATTTTTTTTGAAAGAATCTTGTGGTTAATTTTAAATTGTAAAATTTAATGAAAGACGTTAAAAATATAATAATAAATTTGTTGTGGTTGTTGCGTTGTTTGTAGTTAAGAAATACAATTCCTGAAAACACAATGTAAGTGTAATACAAAACATTCTGGAAAATACTTTAGAAAACACAATAGGTGATGATTCCGGAAAAAAGTAGAGAATATACTTATAGATCTATTTCCGGAAGGAGTATTAAAAATAGAACCGGAAAAATGTATTTCATAGACAGAGTAATAGTTTCCGGAAAATACAAGAGCTAGTAACTAATATTTCCGGAAAAACATGGTTAAATAAATAGATTCCGGAAAATACATTGTAAGTAATATGAAACATTCCGGAAAATATTTAGAAAACATAATAAGTGATGATTCCGGAAAAAAGTAAATATACCTATTTCCGGAAAAGTTATTAAAAATATAACCGGAAAATTGTATTTTATGAATAGAGTAATAGTTTCCGGAAAATACAAGATCTAGTAACTAATAATTTTCCGGAAAAATCCTGGTTAAATAATTTATTTCCGGAAAATACAAAAGTTTATAAAAATTATTTTCCCGAAATTTCCTAGTTCCGGAAGAATTATTAAAAATACGCCGGAAAAGTGTATTTTATGAATAGAGTA